GTCAACAGTTCGAAACTACCAGCTGTTCTGCAAGAGAAAGATGAGGCTTTCGGCTCCCGTAAAGATTTATAGCCTCAGAAACCCTGTACAGAATCGCTGTGAGTCGGAACTGACTCCACGGCACATGACCAACCAAACATATGTGTGTGTGTGTGTGTATATATATATATATTTCTATTTAAAAAAATTTAAGAGTACAATTCTATAACATTAATCACATTCATATGTTGTGTAACTATCACTCACTCTCTGTTTCTAGAAGTCTTTCATCACCCCAAAAAGAAGCTCAGTATTTCAGAAGCAATCACCTTATTTTTCTCTCTTTCCTGCCTGTGCTAACCATGAATCAATCTTTGTTACTATGTATGCATTTGCCTATTCTAGATATTTCATATCAGTGGGATCATATGATATTTGTCCTTTTGTGTGTGATGTAGACTCCTTACTTTTAAAGCTAGGTTAATGTTCATCCTGCAGGACACCAGCAGGTAGAAGGCACAGGTATTTACCTTTATATTGAACGTCACAGTCTCAGTTGTTCTCCTCAGACCAAAGCCATTATTCCTTACATGTTGTTATAAGTGCCATTGATTCAGTTCCAACTCATAGAGACCTTGGACAGGGTTTCCAAGGAAAGCCTGGTGGGTTTGAACTTGTAACCTTGTGCTTAGCAGTCCAGTGCTTATCCTCCAGCACCACACCAGCTTGTGGCATCTGCCTTGCTATCCGACCCACTTACGAGGCAGGAATGGGTGGTCTTTTCTAAGAAGGTTCTATATGATTTGTGTTATCTGGAAGGTTGATTGAATGAACAAGATGGGAATGGGGAACGATAGGATTTAAAAAGTGGAATCTTTTGTTTGACAGTTGACCAGCAATTAGATGATGGCTCGTTTGAGGAAGATGGATGTCATCAATGTCACCACCTTTCCAGTGATACCGGTGGAGGAGAGTCTGACAGTTCCTCAAGCTGTACGGAATGCAATGAAGGAAGCAGTGAGGAAGGATTTAGAGGCCAACCCACCCAGTATCCTTACAGGGTTGTAACCTGCAGTACAGATCAAAAGACCTAACTTAATCAGTTGACCTAACTGGAGTCATAGATGTAGTCATTGCTCAAGACTACACGCTGCTTTTTCCAGTTCTGACTCTTACCAACCCCATGTGTGTCAACGTAGAACTGTGCTCCGTAGGTTTTTCAGTGGTTGATTTGGGAAAGTAGATCATCAGCTCGCTCATTTAAGGTAGACTCGAACCTCCAACCTTTCTGTTAGTTGTTAAGTGCGGTCATGTCAATTCCGACTCATAGCAGCCCTGTATAGGGTTTCTGAGAAGAGACTGGTGAGTTTGAACCACTGACCTTGTACTTAGCAATCCAGTGCTTATCCTTCAGTGCCACACCAGGAATCCTTTCTGTTAGTAGCAGAGTATATGAACCATTGTCACCACCTAAAAGTGACATTCAATATGAATTCAGTATATATTTCTCTATTATTTGTTGTTGTTGTTGTTAAGTGCCATTGAGTCAGTTCTGACCCATAGCAACGTTGTGTAGGGTTTCCGAGGAGCAGCTGGTGGGTTTGATCTGCTGACCTTGGGGTTCAAACTGACTTTGCAGTTCAACGCATTATCTTGCAGCACCACACCAGGACTCAATCTTATTGAAATCTTACCAAATCTGCCAGCCGCTCCTTGGAAAGCCCATACATGGTCGCTCTGAGTCAGAACCAACTCGAAGGCACTTAACAAAAACAATAATAACCCTCTAAAAATGGCACAACCTTTCTTGCTAAAAGCAGAGAGGACTTGACACACTTACTGATGACAATCAAAGATTGGCAGCTTTCAGTATGAATTACGCTTCAATATAAAGTATACCAAAATCCTCACAACTGGACAATAAACAGTGTCATGAGCAACAAGACTGGACTTGATGTTACTTGGATCACAAGTTACAAGGATTTGATGTTACTTGGATCCACAATCAATCAATGGCCATGAACACAGCAGTCAGGAAACTAACCGATGTGTTGGGCAAAACTGCTGCAAAAGATCTCTTTAAAGGGTTGAAGAGCAAACATTTCATTTTGAGGACTAATGTGCGTCTGACCCAACTCATGGTGTTTTCAATGGTCTCCTGTGCACGTGAAACCTGGACAAAGAACAAGGAAGGTGCAAGAAGAATAGATACATTTGAATTGTGGTGTTGGAGAAGAATACTGAAATTACTATGGACTGTCAGAAGAATAGGCATACTTGCTTTGGAGGAAATACAGCCAGAATGCTCCTTGGAAACCATGATGGCAAGACTTCGTCTCTTGTTTTTTGACATGTTGTCAGGAGGGACCAGTCCCTGGAGAAAGGCATCATGTTTGGTAAAAGTAGAGGGCCAGCAAAAAAGAGGAAGCCCCTCAATGAGGTGGATTGACAGAGTGGCTACAACAATGGGCTCCCACACAACAATTGTGAGGCTAATGCTGGAATGGTCAGTCTTTTGTTCTGTTATGCATGGAGTCATGGTGAGTCAGAACCGACTGGACAGCACCTAACAACAACAATAGCAACATTAGCAGCATCTTACCAGGCATGATGTCCAAGCATAATAGATTAACACAGAGGCAGCAACAATTGTGAGGATGCAACAGTTTAATTCTATTGTGCATAGAATCACAATGAATAGGAACTGACTCAACAGCACTTAATAACAGCAACAACCATCATTGACCCTCATCTCATTTCTTATCCTGAACAGTGTCCCAAGGACTCAAAGAATCCATCTCTGGAGGACCTTAGAACCCATACAGCAAATACCACTCTCGCCAGCTCTTTCCATTTCATTTACTTGAAAGTCACGCTGTTGCCAGCCGACCTGAAGGCCTCACTCCATGTCCCCTCACCTCCGCCGCCTCTCAGGAGCCCTTCTCAAGATGTGGCAAGGTGTGACCCCATCAGGATCGGCTTCAGATGTCACTTTGCTGTACCTTTGTCTAATGTCTTCTCTTTCTTCTTAATCCCACACTCATCTCAACCTCGCTGATTTGATTCACTTGCTATGATTGGTCATGTCTCTTCTTATGATCTTCGTTTTCCAAGTATCCTCTGACTCATAAGAACACTTGAAGGTAATGGAAATAAAGGCCAGCCTAGCTTCCTAAGAAGGAAATGAGGCATAATAGGATTCGGGACTTTTGCAAAGGATTTGCCCTTGACCAGCTGAGGCTCTGACAGAAAGAAATGCAAAATCAGAGAGGGTCTGTGGAACTGAATGGTGGTTTCAACAGTGACAGACAAGATCAAGAAACCTTTTGACCCAATAATTTATCATCTGAAAATCTTTCTTAAAGAAATCATCCAACATATAGAAACAGCTCTCTGCATGGCAATTGCATCACAGCATTATTTATAATTGTGAAAAGGTGTAAACAAGTTACATATTCAGTAGTCAAGGGACAGTTAAGTGGGTTAAATTAACTGTTCTTAATTCTCTAAATGGATTAAGGAGCCCTGGTGGCGCAGTGAGCAAACATTGGGCTGTTAACCTCAAGGTCGGCAGTTCAAACCCACCAGCCACTCTATGGGCAAAAGATGAGGCAGTCTGCTCCTGTAAAAATGGATGGTAATGCATGGTCTCCTTGGAAACCCTAGGGAGCAGTTCTATTCTGCCCTGTAAGGTTGCTATGAGTCAGAATCGGCTTGGTGGCAGTGCATTTGGATTGATCACAGTCCTCAGCTGCTAATTGAAAAGTCAGTGAGTCGAACTCACCAGCCATTCCATGAGAGGAAGATGTGGCAAT